TGAACTTCAGAAAATGTAAATGTTATAGAAGCACCATAATCTTTCGTAGAAGGCAATAAAGCACACTTTTATAGCAGCACGCACCGACCTTGGTATACAGATTAGACTGTGTCCTTACTGTGACTAATACAAATGATATGGCAGAGGCATTACGTCATTTGCATGAATTTACCGGTATAAATCATGCTAATGAAAAATAAACATTTAATATAATAACTAGCAAAGTCTGTGACTGCGTGACCGAATCCCTGAGACATCGTTACCGAGTACCTGAGACATGGTTACCTCAGTAGACTTTTGCCAACGTTTACTGCGTGGTTTCTTCTATCTTAACCTATTTCTGCCAAGCAGCTTAATTTGTAGCATATATGAAGATTAACATATGGCAGGGAATTTATAGGGTACTATAAAGTCATAACACCTTAGTAGGATCAAAATTCGACTGTTCAAAAGTGCTTGTAATGAGTTTATTTGAATAAAGACTATTTATATTTCTATTTCATGCCAGCTTAGTCCTCAGGAACGACACGTATGTAAATAAATCTAATATCTGGATCTCTCAAGATCTAATCTATTCATCTATATATATAAATAAAATTGGAGTGTATCTTTGTAATATTGAAATAACCGTTTTTTACTACATGCGTATGAATATAAATACGGTACATACACTAAAAAGCAACTTTTTAAAATTTTTGTCTGTCTGTCGGTCTGTTTGTTCCGGCAAATCTCTGGCTGATGTAATAAGAAGTAACTTAGGCTACTTTTATTTTAGAAAAAATGTTAAATTCTACTCGGACGAATTCCCGGGAACAGCTAGTCTCCTATATATGTATATAGACGACATTTGATATTTATCATCTCCGAGCCTGTCAGCACAAATTCTAGTTATATAAAAGAAAATGTCATAGATATAGAGACGGATTTTAATGTAATGGAATATTAAACAACCTTAGGTTTTATCAGCTGGTAAGCGGAAACCGTCGCTTATATACATAAACAGCAATACGGACATCACGTCATCATGTCGCCCGTTGTACTAATTTATGCTGGACACCAGAGGACTAAAGAGTCAATCATAAGGTGTCAGTAATTTCACTGTCCTACCTCGCCCTTCCGAAACAAGGGCAAGCTTACAAACCAAGCTGCCTGGTGCATATATCTCATTCGATTTACATCTTTCATTATTTTCCTTTCACTCATCCTTTCCAAATCTCGAAACTAGTGCAATATCCACGATAAAATAGAATAATAATAATCGGAGCAATGTTACTTATGGTTGGTTATTAATGTCAACAGCATTTTTTTGGACGTTTGGATGCATCTTCAATTCCTAATAAAGTATATGCCGACAAAGTGATTGAGTATGGATTATCTACATTTCCGCTCGCTATGGGCCCCGCACTGACTCGTGACCGGAGTAAGGTCGTATCTATATAACGGAACCGATACTAGTTTTAAGAATGAGGCATTATTAATGCTTGGGCTCGTTTATGTAAAATATTCTATTTGCATTCTTTGGACAATGACTTCATAAATAAAAAATATTAGAATTAAGTTTAAATTTATATACCAACGTAATTTTATTAGTTTAGTAATATATTCATAGTATAATAAGTCCTCATCATATTGATCGTTCTGTCCTTTTATATTATTGGCTGAAACATGTACACCTTTCAAATCTGAGCCTAATTGACTCTCACGATGATAATTGTTACATAGAATAATTTGTTTAGTTTTTAGAAATTCATTTTACTAGAAGGAAATACCGCGACATTGCTTGGGAGAAAACCTGTTTTAAGAGTAACCTGTATAATAGCTGGAATAGTTTATGGAATGGTATTGCAACTATTCACTGTGATTTTTAAGGTCAATAACATGTAAACTCTTAACGTCCCGAGGCGGAAGTCTTCTTATTGTAGCCATTGTTTTTGTAAATAATTTCGACTAATAATATAATAATAATAACATTTTTGTATTTCATTTACTTCCCAGTGTTCCATCTGGGGAAATCCAGCAGTTCCCATTATTGGCCTTGGGTTCCTACGACTTGGGTAAGCGAGTGTAAGCCATGAAGACATACTATATGTATGAGATTAGTTGTAACTGTACATTTTCTAAGTCGGGATGCTTGCCCTAATGAAAGCGTACATAACATCAGAACTCAGTATGTAGAGCTAATTCGGTTGCCTTATAGAGAGTGTCTTACCATATCTAGAGTGCTATTCTGAATCCTATCCTGGAATTGTAATGCAAGCCCTGACACCGTATGTTTTTTTAGAAGGCAAGAACCATCTGCCTTGACGATTGGATAGTCCTAGGATAGAATTTTCCACACATTACAAAAAAGGTATTTATTCTATGCTAGTTGATTTCCATTCAAAATGGCAACAATCGACAATATTTTCTTGTCTTATAAAAATCAAGTGGTACTAGAACAGACATGAACATATTTTATTTATATGTCGCTTAGGAAACTTCTCATGAATATATATATAAATTTAATTTATACAAAAGAAAGCTATGGCCCTATAGATGAAAACTTGTTCGTTACATTCTCCGTATCAACTGCATTAATTTTCAAACGTTGACTTTCAAACAATTAATATTATAGACACTTTAGAAGTTCCGTAGTTTTTTATTACTGTATCTGATAAACAAGCAGATGGAAAGTTGAATCGCCGTCTACAGATTTGAACCGAGGTTTTAAAATGTGTGGATGTTGGTTACTGTATGCATTTAGATAAAATATTGTAGGTTCCCAGACAGATCTTATCCTAGTTTTTAGATTGGAGTATGATAACAACATTGCGTTTAGTTCAAGAGCTGCTAATACTAACAAATAGATTATGTAAACTAAATTAAGACAGATGGTATAGAGAAACCAGCTCCAGGATGCTTCGATCTTATTCTCTAACGGATTTCAAAGAAAAGAGGAAATTCGACTATAATTTTCTATATAAATTTGATCATTAGTTTGTGTTATTCTTAATAATGTGATGTCTTAATAAAAGTGGAATTTTCGTAGTCTGAACACGCGTATTAATTCTAAAGCTGTGTAATAATTACCAAAATAAATTATCCCTTTATCTAATATATGTTTTTAAAGATTTATTCATGTATGTCTATTTCAGACTCTTATGATAAGTCAAATCTGCATTATAGCTACATTAACGTCTTATAGACGAAATAATACAATAATATAATCAAAAATAGTAAAAAATATTTATTTTTTCTTTATAAGTTTATATTATGAATATTATAGATTATTTGAAGCGCCTATTGTCTTATATCATTGCAATATGAACTCTATGTTTACATGTAACTTGTTTATCACAATTATAATCGTTTTAACAGCCACTTGCGAGCACCCACATGTTGCAATGAGTTTGTGTGCCAAACACTTGTCGGCACTGACCCAGAGTGATGTCACAATGATATCATCAGTGCATACAAATATTAATGTCTGGTTGAGATTAGCTTTTATAATACCGACGCTGATAAGGTGAGCTGTTCCGTCAGTTTGTCTTTTTTTAATGGATGATAATAAAACGTTGCACCCGCGGGGGCATCAGTGGATGATAATATGATTATGAAGAGCCAGTTGGCCTATTGAGGTAAATTCAGGAATTAAGCACGCTTTCCAGAGCACACCGCGTGGTGATATTTTAGATTGTTAGCAATGATACTATGGGAGGGATATAATGTGAATAAATGAACCATCAAAAAAATCTCCACCTCCATGCGGTTCCCCCGGGAAACCATCGTGACATGTTCCTGGTGAATTTGTCACGATGGGGTAACTGTCCTGACCTCATGTACATCTTATCTTTCTCTACTGATCTCCGCCAGCGTAAGCATTAATGAAAAATAGGACTACCGGTACTCATTACTAACAATTTATTTCCCTTTTGATTGCCTTTAGCAGGTAGCAATTTGCAACAATCTTCTAAAATGGTGGTCGATTTATAACCAATTAGGTATACATATTCTTAGGTTAGGTTTTATTTTTGTTCTGTCAGTATGACAGTATGGATTTAGTATCTTTGCCATTCAGTAGAATAGAAAGAAAATGTCATGCGAGGATGTCATTTTTAATTTACGTTTTAAATTATAAAATAAGTAAAACGCATTATTCGACGAAACTCGCAGTGCATAATTTAATCTATTGCACATGACTGTTCTTTTATGTGTTTTTATCTAAGTCTATAAATTAATATCTCTTTATGATATTATATCATTATTAACGATACGATATCGAAGTGGAAAGTGGGGTCCGGGGCATACATGACGCAGTCAATTGCATTACCTCGCCTGTTTCCTGCGAAACGGTAGTTTAACGTTTTATATTGGTTTGAGTAGGTATTAAATGCAGTATAATTATTTTCTAAGAGCGATGTAGCTTAGTATTTAACTATTCTGAGTATAAGGATCCCAAAGGTCGTTAATTAGAATCGGACCGGTATTGACGTTGCAGGGAAATATTTACTTCCGTATTAACCTGGACTCACATTATCGGATGCACTGCGGCCAGGACCGGCCAGGAGCGACGACGTCATATGATTGGTGCATTTAAAAGAAGGTAGTGAGATAGGCTGTAATCGAACAGCATTGTTAGCACGGGCCATTCGTATCCTATCGACAATTTACGGCAACCCTGAATCGCTTAAAAATATTTTCCGGATTTCTGCGTAGTTTGTTTTTAGGGTTTCAAATAGACAAAGTAAATTAAATTCTTGTGCTGTGTTTGTCTGTTACAGTCATAGCAGTCAGAAACTACCGATACTATTGATTTGAAGTTTTTATTAGTTTAAGATATTATTCAAACGTAATAAAAAATAATGAAAATTAATTTATTACAGTTGATAAAGGCATACGATACTTAAAGGTAATGTAAAAAATGAGAAAATATGTATTTCTTAAGTTGGAAGAAGAACATAGTGGAAATAAGTACGAATTTGTATGTATATGTATAATATAATAAAGAGATCTCATCTTACCCGTTTCTTCTTCCATGTTTCTGTTCGTTTCACTCGAGGCAGAGTATTATTCTGCTTTTGCATTGTGATACTAACACTACACAAAGTATATACACTATTCACTACACTCACACACTGAAATACTATCGTCTAAATATATTTGAAATCAACATCTAAGCTGCGATATGAACTAACTAAACTAATAAGAAGATCTATCAGATGGTGAACAAGGTAAGCATCTCTGACTGTCCATGTTCAAGAGCTGTGTAATGTAGTTTTATAAAAATATCACATAATAAATGTCATCAGCTTTTACATTTTTTTTTAATTTGAAAGTAAACTACACACAAGTAAAATTACTTTATTCTAAGTGTTAGTCCTTGTGTTTTTTTGTTAACATCATATCTTATGTACATATTTTATATGTTTAATTATCTATCGGTAATGATAACAATTTTATATAAAAAAAAGTAACATATGAAGAACCTAGAGTCGACAGACTGCGTTCTTATAAACGAAACCGTTGACTGTCTACTCAGTTTAAAAGTTACGAGAAATATAAGATAAGTGGAAAGCATGTTACGGTTGGTTGAGCTATTTCATATGTATAGAATGTGGGATGTCATATTGGGAACTTATAAATATTTTACTGTATTTAAATAAATACGTGAAGCAAAAACGTTAAACCTCTTTTTACGAAAATTGCGAGGTGAAAATTGAATTGGTCGGAGGATTATGAAATTTGGCACATTTACAGTTGCATGTAGAGATTGCAAGAGTGCAGATTGCAATTTTTTTTAAATATGTATAAAAAATAAATGAAATCAATAAAAAAACACACTGTGTACAATACACACTATGTACCATGTATTTAACGTGCTCACGCATACCTACCGTTAAAGTCAAACTTAAATAAATAAATACACAAAACATACTGATTTATCGGAACTAAATTTTTTAAAAGGCTACATTTTTTTATTATAATGATTAAATATCAAGTCATTCCTTAAAAATCGAGTAATTGACGGATTTTTTAAATTCTTTCGATAAGAAATATAGAGAATAAGAATAATTTCTGCTTAACTTGGGACTAGATGGCGCTGTGTGAATTATCGCAGGTAATTATTATTAATAATTAATGTATGTTATTTAACACAATCACTTGAGACTAATAGGCAAAAATGTCCAAACACAATGCATTATGTGCAGTTTACGAGTTCATTATTGCCACCGCCAACGTCCATCTCTATCATTAGATCAACTCGACTGTACTAGATAAATTTGTTAAAAAAATCTAAAATAAATTCCAGGAATGTTTTTACAATCGATAGAACTTCATCTGTAGTTTTTTTTTTATTAAGGGTTTTGAACTATTATCAGATGTTAAGACCCGTCAAGACATCATCTGTAGTTAGTCCCGTACGAATTCCGATATAGTAGTTTAATTTTTGTGGTAACCTATATATCTATAACAGCGTTAATTCAAAAACAGAAAAAATTGTACTTAGAAAACATTTCCGATAGATATAAAAGCTTAATATTACCGTGACCGAAATATTGCTACATTTTGAGTGGATTATTTACACTCAACTGTTCATTAAATTAGAAGTAATTTAATTTAATGTTTTCGTAATTACAATTATTTTAACCAATTGTACATTCAATATTATTATATTTAAACTTCTTATAATTATATCTCATCATAATAAAAGTGTATGAACTAAATAAAATAAAATGAAAATTAACTAAATAATAAATATATATATGTATTACTTTTTTTATAGAAAATTACATATATTTTTTTTATGACAGGTCTCATTTATATTAGTTCACCGCCAACAATCTTTCTCTGCACCACACTTAATTTATGTGAATTGAAGTTAAAAAAATAAAAAGTTATGTCAAAAATTTTTAAATGGTTTGTACGAAAATTTTCATGCAATTTGAAATATAGTAGAGATGAACCACAGAGTACATATATATATGATGTTAACATAAATATAACACGGTTTAATATGGAAAAAATTTCAAACCTACACACATACATATAAAGTACACATTTCTATGCTTATACACACATGATCTGTCGGTAAACACTAATTAAATTACAAATAATGTAATTATATTTTTGTATTTTTTTAAACACGTTTTCCGATGGTACACGACGTATCATTAACACACCCGATTAGAAACTGTGACACAAAGGTATATTACGTTATCTACAGTACTTAATCAGAAAATAGGTATGGCTGATAACAACTATACTATTGAAACGAACTAAACGGAATACTAACAACACTGAAGAATTTCGACTAAATTATCATTTATGCATTGGCACAGTTAAAGAATTAGTAGCGATAGTCCCTATGAGAAATGCAGCAAATAAGTCAGTCAGCCAAGTAGATAAGACAATTTTTTTATTTAAACTGATGATAATAACTATTGTTAGCCTCCTAAGATGGGATAAATAGGTACATTACGGCATTTTTCCGAGAATTGGCAAAAAATAAAAATGTAAGTATTTGTCTTTAAAGGTATTTAGAGCAATATCATCTACAAAAATTAATAGATTTGATGTTTTTATTATTGGTAACCATTCATTGGGATTACTTCTGTGTTGATTCTTTATTTTCACCATAACTCAAATAGTTTGTTGGGTAGTTAGTATGTTCTGGTGGGTATCTGGGAAGTTGAGTATGTTCTGATGGGATCATATACGTTTGTATTCAACATGGAACTAATTGAATTAAATATTTATATAGTTCTTATTTGATTTATTGTCAACATTCTCTACAAGTTTGGTTATTCTATTAAAGAACAATCAATCAATCAACAATAATAAAGAATTTGGTTATTCTATTAAACAACAAATGTTAAAGATCAATAACAACCGGTCGAAGAAACAGTAGATTAACAGGAATCATATTTCGTCCTTGCAATATGCATGAGGTTTAGGATAAGGTACTATAATACGTATATTTTCCAATGTTCGTTGACTTATAAATATAGACGTGAAGTTCAATATTAGAAACTTTAATATGATATTATGTTATATAAAGGAAACTTGACCAAAGTAGTACCACTAAAATCACAATAGAATAACGTCACTAATTCAAAAACAAACTAATCATTAACCTTTTTACAAAATTTTCTCCGCAGTATATGCATTGAATACATATTTTATAAGTTTTAGAAAAAAAACTAAGTACTTATTTGTTGCACTACCTAAAACCACCGTATCCAATTAATTGCTAGTAATACTATAATTACTTTCGACATCAAATTTACAAACTATAGATACAATTGCGCAATTATTACGACGCAGTCATTGTTTAGGTGTTGCTGTTTACTAAATAAAGAATCGCAGTACTACCGAGTACCTACTAACACAACAATTCACTAACAGCATGCATCATCGGGAATGGAAAACAACGGCCCATCAATATTGAAAGATGGACAGACATGCACTACGAAATAAAAGAACGTAGGACGGGACGGTAGAGAACTGATAGTAGGGGCGAACGGGGATTGTTAGTAATATGGACTGGTGATTTTATTGCTAGCAACGTACCATGTCAGGTTGACCTCCACGCGGTTCCCCCTGGAAACCATCGTGATAAATTCTCAATGAATTTATTACGATATGCTACCTGACCTGACTACATTATTAATTCATTATAATATATATGAATAAAATTTGTCAAGTTCATACTTTTTAACGAAACACTGTATACACGATCCTAAATATCAGGGTAAAATATTATTAGCTCGATTCCACGGAAGTGGAACCCATATGTCTAAGTTATCTGGGTAAACGCATTCCCATTTTCATCGCTAAGAAAGATGAATAAATTAATAACTTCCCAGTAATAAAAAGGAATAAATTAATAATCATTAGTTATAGAATTCTAAATTACTTTTTAAACGTAATTAATCCTTTTTTTTTATTCTACTATGGTGTCAAACAAGCACACGGCCCATCTGATGGTAAATGGTTACCGTAGCCTATGGACGCCTGAAGCACCTGGGGTGTCACGTGCGCGTTGCCGACCCTTAAGAAACCTTAATATACGCTTCTTGAAAAACCCCATGCTGTAGTCTCGTGAGAAAACCTCGGCAGGAAGTTCATTCCACAATCTAAGTGTACGCCGGAGGAAGCTCCTCTGAAACCGCACTGTCCGAGAGCACTTAGGTTCCAGCGTGTGGGAATGAATTCCCTGTCGATGGCGAGCTGTGCGATGGTGAAAGGTGGCCGTAGGCATCATGTCGAAGAATTCCTCAGAATACAGTCCGTTGTATAATCGGTAGAACACACAAAGCGAAGCGAAGTCTCCTATTAAAGGCGTAATCTTCCAGTATGTATTCATAGATACATTTTATAGTCATTACGGAAAGAAACGAGCCAAATTATCTATATATAACTTAGACTCATATTCAGAAATTAAAAATAAAATACTTGTACACAAATTATGTCTAAAAGTGTCTTACAAAAAACTTCTTGCAATACAACGTTAAGTTGCCTGAATAAGTAAAAATAGTCGTGTACCAACGGCCTAATCAACATCTCCTCTATAATGTACTTTAGCATCTTATCTGCTATCCCTCCACTTACATTCCAAGAGGTGATAAGCTCTCGTTATCCTATATTGCAAGATATTGAGACGAAACCACAACAAGTCACTTCGTGATTCACTAACATGTATACAGTAAGAAAATTGCGTAAAAACTGACTGAGAAAAGTAGCTATAACGAGACTACCATTTTGATTGACAAACAAAGCCCTAGTAGCGTTGGCATGCACGTTAGAAAAAAGTTAAAAATTACGAAAAATTTTAGATTTTAAGTAACGTACAAAAATATAGAAGCCTCTGATCAGCTCTTTTTTTCGGACTACTCTAATGCCTTTGGCCGCTGCGGGCCTTTACAGCTTCACCGGATGATGGGGGCGAGTGCAGATGGCACTCCAAACTGACGGAAGGACTTAGGGAGCGGCTGAAGGCCAATTCCCGCCTGACGGATACGACTTTAGTCTGAGGGCACCACTAGAAGTTCGAATCTCGGCTCAGGCCGTTGTAATTTCGATCCCCATTTAAATTGCACGGGGAAATGATCGGAGGAATGCTCAATGCTGTAATATTATGATGGTA